GATTTTGGCGCAAATCTATTTCTTGGTTTATCAGTTTTGTTGACTTATATAATTATTTTCATTTCTTGTACTATTTCCAGTGGAATAATAATAATAATAATAATAATAATAATAATAATAATAATGATGATAATGTTTTGTTTTCTGAGACTAGGTCTTAACCTAGCTCTAGCTAGCCTCCTGCCTTGGCTTCCTGAGAGCTGGGATTACAGGCCTAAGCCATTGCAAGGAGCCCCCCAGTGTTATTTTGAGTAATGGTTGCATCTGGGTTTTATCTCACTGATATGATTTCAGGGAACTGTCCACAGGCACAGACTGTGGGAGTGATAGGATTCACTCTCAGGAACCACAGTCCTGTGATATATTATACAGTGCCTAAAAATACTGTATTTTATTTGCTGTTTTAGTTATTTTTGGAAGGAAAATAATTTCATATACTATGGTGGTAGCTGAAGTCTTTTTAATCACTTAATTGCTGACCCTATTGTTTTGGAGCTCTATGTTGAAAACTTTGGATTTGATACTATTGCTTTTCCCTTTTTTTTGAGTTTACCTTCTCCTTGACTGCCAATACAGCCTTTTTCTTTTCCTGACTCTACTTTCTGCCTCCTCTGCATCCTTTTTCTTTGGTTCCTTAAGTGTATGGATTGCCATGATAATTATGACAGTAACAGTTACCGTGCTACTTAGCAACTTAGTAAGACCCTGGCTCAAACTACTGTAACTCATAAAAGAAGTCTTACCATTTGATGGAGTCCTCTTTGCTTGCTCTTCTCATTCTACATGCTCTTTTTTTGGGGGGCGGGTACTGGGGAGTGAACTGAGACTTTGCCCTTGTGAGGCAGGCAGCAGCACCACTGAGCCCCTTGTATGTTCTTTTAAGTTATGGGCCCCACCTATATCTTGGTAACTTTTATATTTATATTTTTAGCCTCGATTGCTGTACTGAGCTTCAAATCTGTATATCCCTACAATCATCAAGCATTTCCACTTAATTTTTTTTTCTTTTATTGAATTTATTGGTACATTTTAGGTATGCAGTACAATTACATTCATCATTGGGATCTTGTACCTTTACATGACAGGTCTTGGTTCTCATTTTTTTCCCCTTGTCTGTGCCCTCCTCCACTTAGATTTTTAAAAAGACTTATGTCCTAGTAGAACTCCTCTGTCCGTTTCCATACTGTTCTTCATCTTGACATTAATTCATATTAAACACGTATGAAAACAAGCCATATTTCATATCAGCACACATGCAGTCTGCATGTTAAGTTAACCTTCTAACTGATCTCTTGGCTCTGGCTCCTCCATTCCTCCCATTTTGTCCAATTGCTCTTCTGTCTGTACTGTTGTGCCAACCCAGCCACCTAACTGATGTCTGCTTCTAGTTGTGTCCATCTAAATTCTGTATTCCTCAAATTCAAGTTAGAATGTACTTCCTGGCTTAAGTCTGAGTAGTTTCCTGAGTGCTGCTGGCTAGCGTCTGTGCCTTTTATCATGGTGTGCAGACTCCCTTTGTTGTGGCTTCCTTCTCAGATCTTTCTTTTGAGCCAGCATTCTTCCCTACTGTGCCCTGCTGCTTCCTAGCTCCCCTTTTTACCTGGCTAACTCCTGTTTACTCATTTCAAAGATCTGTTCACTTGTTTACAGGTCTCTTCCTTTGGCTGCCATAATGTCCTAGCAAATGACTGGTTATTTTTTTTTCTAGATATTTATGAGCTTAATTCATTTTCATATCCCAGTATAAGGTTAGGACTTTGTGTAAAGTGTAAATAGAAGCAGTGATACTTGGATCTTTCCTATCATTCTTAAAGTGCTTATCTGTCTTAACTATGATGCTTAAATATTTATAATTTTTAAAAGTCAAATTAAAGTATCGCCTACCCTAACTTGATAGAAATTCTGTCTGTAATCTGTGTTGAATTTTATCAGATGCTTTCTGTGATGTCTGTGGAGTAGATTTCCTAAAGATAGTCTTTCTTAACCCTTCTTTTTCCTGATTTATTTAATGTATTGTTGGCTTTGATTGGTTGTTTTGTTTAGGGTACTTTTATCTGTATTTACAAGTGAAATATTTTCAGTATGCAGTCCTTTAGTTCTTTTGCTGCTTTTTTCAGAATCATTCTAGCCTTTGGACTGGTGAAGCATTGCAGTTTTCAGTTGGAATAACTGCTTAAATTTGAGTTGGTTGGTCCTTGTTCTCATAGTGACTTAGTAGAGTTTTTCTTCAGTTTTAGGGTTTTTTTGAGATAGAGTTTTGCTTTGTAGTTCAGGCCGGCCCTGAACCTAGTGTGTAGCTGAGGCTGACTTCAAATTTGCGGTGATTCTCCTGTCTCAGCCTCCTAAGTGCTGGGATTACAGTGTGTATCACCACGCCCAATGCTTTGTCTACAATTTTAAAAATGGCTATTTCTTGACATTCTGTTTTTTCCAAGTTCTAGTCAAGATTCAGGAATAAAGTAGGACTCCTTTGATACTTGTTGAATAAATAATCTCTGGATAGAGCTTTGAAAAAGGATTTACTGTACAGAACCATTTATTTATTTATTTATTTATTTATTTAATTTATTTATTGTCAGCATTGTTATGGCTACTTAACCAGAATGTGAAACTGGCCATAAGAGAGAGAAATAGATATCCTTCTCCATGGATACATTTTCTTCATAAAAATATGCTGTTTGGTGTGATAGTCTCAATATGAAGCTAATGTTTTTAGGAAAACAGTAATTGGCTTTATTTAATTTAGTGCTGGCATAACCATTGAGTGTAAAAAGATCAACAGTAAACATTACAACTGTGTATGTGCTTTGGGTTTTTACTGTTTTCTCTTTGGAAATTTATTCTGTGATTTAAACTCTTTAAAATGTATTTTAGGGCTGGGGGTTTAGCTCAGTGGTTTCACTGCCTGCCTTGTAAGAGCAAGGTCCCGAGTTTGATTCCCGGTACCCCCCACAAATGTATTTTATACACTAATGCTATTTAGGAGTTAAAGTACTTTAATTTCAATAAAACTGTTCCACTCGTGTTTCCCTTTTAAATTTTAATGTATTTTTCCTTTTTAAAAATAAAGGCTTGGGATGTAGCCCAGCAGCATAGCACCTGCCTGGCAAGTACAAGGTCCTGAGTGGGATTGCTGGTACAAAAAATTTTTTATTAACACATACGAAGGGCTGGGCATTTAGCTTAGCAGTTCCGCCACCCGCCTTGCAAGCGCAAGGACCAGAGTTTGATCCCCGGTACCAAAAAAAAAAAAAACAAAAAAAAAACCCAACAAACAAAAACAAAGCAAAACACATATGAATAGGATTTATTGTGATATTCAGATACTTAGGTTGTGCCTTGATCATATCCAGCTCCTCTTCCTCCACCTTACCTCTCCACCCTCCACTCCAAACCCACATTTCACTTTCAGGCCACACCTTTTTATATCCACATATGAGAGAATGACATTCTTGTCCTTCTGTGTCTTGACTTATTTTGCTTACACATTGCAAATCAAATTCAGCACAACAAAAAGATCATACATCACAGACAAGTGGGTTCATTCCAGGGATGCAAGGATAGTTCAACATATGCCAGTCAGTAAATGTAATAATAACAGAATGAAAGTTAAAATACAGTATTTGTAAGCATTTAGAAGATGCTGGACATGTGACAGAAGCATCTGTACATCTGAATATGGCTCTAGGGTTATGTAGTAAAGCAGTGGTTCTCACCAAGGGCACTTTTAAGTCATTCGGCATTGTCTGGAGAGTTTGGCAAAACAGAGATGGATGTGTGCATGTGTGTATTTGTGTGTGTATGTGTGTGTGTGTGCACACATGCATGTGTCCCACTGTCATCAAGTGGGCAGGGGCTAGAGTGCAGGTGGACACCCCACAGTACAGGCAGCCCTCACAGCAAGGAGTGGTCTGTGTCAGAACGGTTTGCAGACTGGCAAACTTGTGAAAGGAAGACACACACTTAACAGATGATAGGAACAGTTTTCCTTCGGCAACTGGAATTCTGAAAATTTAATTTGCACTGTCCTTATACAGTATATGAGAGTATTTTACTTGTTACTGACATCTAGTGAGACATTTGAAAATAAAAACTAGGTTAAGATTAAATAAATAAATAAATTAGCAGGTTACTACTATTATTTTACCTTTCATAAAGAAATTAGATAGACATTCATTTGTTTATAGGTATGGAGAAAACATAAAATCTAGTAAATTCTTAGTTTAAGTATTCTTTCATGTTTCACTTACAGTCCTGATTTAATATTAGATCTGAGAATATAAAAATCATTTATTTAGGTATATGGAATTGAACTTAGGACCTTTTGCTTGTGAGGCAGGGGGCAGCACCACTGGGCTAAATCCATAAAAACTGAGCTGTCCATGTGTAAGACTATTTATATTTTTAAAAAATACCTGAAATAATAGAATTTTGAAGCTAAAGAAGACCTTAGTGGTTTAGCACAATTCCTCCATTTATGGAGATGAGAAACTTCACTTTCAGAGAGGTGAAACAATCTTAGCCAATGTTGTTCAACCTGCCAGATCTTGACCTGGAACCCACAGCTCCTAGTTTAGCATTTTTTAAAAGTGGAGGATAGTATTTAATACATTGGATTCTCTTTAAAGTTTTTGTTCATTTTTATTAAAACTTAAGTTATTTCTTTAGACTTATCATATTTTTCTTAGAACATATATGCTTCATTTTTTTGTTTTTTTAAAAAACTGTTTGACATTTGTTTCTTCTTTTAAATTATTTTTTCCTTCTGCTGTCATTTTTCCCTCCTCCTTTTCTTTCTCCTTTTTTTCCCCAGTGCTGAGGATCAAACTCCAGACCTGGTGAATGCCAAGCCAAGTGTTCTACCACTGAGCCACATCCCAGCCTTGTTTGTTTTCTGTTTTTAAGTGAATTAGTATGTATGTTTATAAGTCTCTGAATTTCATTTTAGTTTGTAAATGTTATGCTTTTTCAGATATGAAATTAAAATTTTTATTTCACAGGCAAATACACCTCCAAATCAAGGAAGGCCAGATTCTCCTGTGTATGCCAACCTACAAGAACTGAAAATATCCCAGTCTGCTCTCCCCCCACTTCCTGGGAGTCCAGCAGTTCAGATTAATGGAGAATGGGAAACTCATAAAGATAGTTCAGGGCGTTGTTACTACTATAACCGAGGAACACAGGAAAGAACTTGGAAACCACCCCGTTGGACCCGGGATGCAAGCATAAGCAAAGATTTCCACAGTCAAGGAGATCAAGAGGTATGAATTATTAAGGAATCAACCAGTGAGTTTTTCAGTTTTTTCTTTTCATTATTCAGAAACAATTGAGTTTTGTTTCTTGGTATCAACACAGTAAAACACTTGACTCTGAGATATGCCGTACTATAAATTCTTTCCATGCTTTATTATATTAATTCTAGTTACCTCCTAATCTCCAGTGGACAATAGCTAACCTGTAGTATGCGTGCTGGTTCCTGAACAGGATCATAGTTACCTATTGCCTCTGCTTTCCTTTATGTATTAAAAGACACTAACTTGGGCTGGGAGTGTAGCTCAGCGGTGTAGGGTCTGTTCCCAAGCATGAGTCCCTGAGTTCAATTCCCCATACCGAAAAGAAAATAAATAAATAAAAGACACTAACTTTATGCATAAACTAATGACATTTCTAAGAAACATATATTTTGTGACCCATCCGAATAATAGAAACAGTGTTCTCCATTGACTTAGCGCTACATTGGCTGTCAAGCGTCTCAGTTTTATCTTTTTTGTCGGTGGTACAAGATCACCTTTTATTTCTGTGATGTAAGGAATATAATCATAATTCCTTTACCGTGATTGAATCATTCCGTAAGTTTAATAATTTACTCTAAAATAATTGTTTTCTCTGACAAGTGTTTATACTGTTTTTTCCCCTTTAGTTTCACTTTCACACCTCTTGCAAGATGGTGTAGAGAACTGACAAATTGTACTTTGAAAAATACTCATTTTGTGGTTGGATGAGCTGCATTGAGACTGTTGAGCTATGCAGGAGGAAGGGGCAGGAAGGACAGGGTTGTTAGGATGGAGTGACATCTTGCTGTTTCATAGCCTGGAACCCTTGCACCTGCCAGGACATCTTGCTCTTACAGGAAGCAGCTAGCATGCACAAATAAACACAGACCTCCAGGAGGGTAGGAGCTGGAGAAATCAGGTAACACATCCTGCTTTTAGCAGTGTCTAAAAGCTTTTGTAGTTAATGATTTCCCTTCTTGTCCTATTTTCCAGTTGGCTATTTATAGCCTTGGTTTGATGTTAACTTATGGTTTTACTTTAATGCTTTAGGAGAGAAAATGTTCATGCTTAACTCAAGTAACAAAGTTTGGAATTTTTTATTTGAATTGTAGATCTAAAAAGGTTTAAAAACAGTCTGTCCAGGTAAAAATCTTATAATTTGGGAGAATTAAGGAAAAGGCAGAACAACAGACTAATAAAAAATTGTAACATGTACACAGAAACCTTTAACATACATGTTTCTTAGCTTTTTTCGTTTCAGTAAATAGATGAGAATGTTTTGTCTAGCAAGATCTCAGTCTACATTCTAGTCTCTGTATAAATTGTATAAAAATAATTATTTCCAAGTGGCTGGAGCACATCTTCATTGCATGTGGGAGATAAAATTGAGAGTGTGTAAATGTGCGTGAAATGGTCACTGTCTTGCTCTCATGTGGACTTCAGCTCTTCTCCCAGAAGGTAAGGGGTGCCAGGATTTGGTGTCAACCTGCATTTTGCAAATGGTCCCTTAGTCTCCCCTCTCTGTGGTACTTACGTCCCAATTGTGTTGCCTCTCAGCTGAGGATCTTAACTGTTTGTCTTCTTTGGAGGGAATAAGCTCCCATACTTCTGGGGTGTTGGTTACATTCCTAATGGCCAGCCATAAGGGGTTCTGTGGTTTTAGTCTTCTTTTAGATTTTGGAACACTGTCTTCGCCTCCCAGCTCGAGATTCCTAATGCGCTGTCAGTTCCTGAGCTATTTGTGGTTCTGCTCTGTAAATTGTTGAGTTTTATCTGTTCCCAGTCTCCCTACTCTGCTAGTTTTGATTCTCCTTTCTTCTGCATGGATAGTAGAGATTTTTGTTCATCTATTAACTGTTATCTCTCTTTTCTTGTGAGTATACATCTTTTTAAGCAAATTTCATTCATTACTATTATTTTAGTGGCATTGAAGAGGCAGCCAGTCTTCTATCTAAGCTCAGAATCAGAAGCTTGTCGTTTTAGTGGCCGCCCTATAGCACTGGTTCTTACCAGGAGGCAATTTTGACTTCCGAGGACCTTGACAAAGTGTGAGACTTCCTGATGGTCACAGGGAGGATGCTGGCATACAGACACAGAGATGCTGCCGAGTGGCAAACAGTGCATGTTGGCTCTTAGCAAAGGATTGTGTGGCCCCAAATTTCAACAGTGTTGTGTCATTGAGACATTTGAACATGCTTGTTTTTAAATTTTTAAATTTTTGAACATGCTGTTTTTCAAAGTGTATTGGTTTCCTCTTGATCCTTAAAGCTGTGCAAGAACTGTATGTGTTGTGCTTCTGCTGTTATATAATTCTATTTTACTCCCCTTATTGTCGTATTTTCTTTTCCTATATTTTCTTCTGTCTTGAGCATGTGCTTTTAAATTCCCCTATGAGTATCTCTTCCTGATAGAATCTTTTGTTTTTGTCTGGAAATTTGTCTTGCTTCTATTTTTGAAGAATCTTAATAGATGTATAAGTTCATCATTTTATTTTTATTTTTTTAGTTTATTTATTTATTTATTCTTTTTGGTACCGGGGATTGAACTCGGGTCCTTGCGCTTGCAAGGCAGGCCACCGAACCACTGAGCTAAATCCCCGGCCCCAAGTTCATCATTTTAAACTAATTCATTAAAGGTTTTATTTTTGTGAGGCCACCGAAACTGAGCTAAATCCCCGGCCCCAAGTTCATCATTTTAAACTAATTCATTAAAGGTTTTATTTTTGTGTTTTCTGGCTTCTATTATTGATGCTGAAAACCCAGCTGTCAGTCTGATTGTATTTTCTTTTTCTTTTTTTTGGTACCGGGAATTAAACTTGGGACTTTCCACTTGTGAGGCAGACGACAGAACCACTGAGCCAAATCCCCGTCCCTCAACTTTATTTTCTGCAGGCCACCTGGATAGTAGTAATTTGTATTGTATGGAGATAGTCTCTTAATGGCTTAAGATCCCCCCTGATTCCTCTAGTGTGGAATAGAGCGGCGGGGGTTTATTCTTGGCTCACATATAATCTGTGGATATCGCCCTTGGTGGTGGGCCCCAGCCCCAAATCATGGGGTATCCTGTTAGACTTCCAACTTTGGCAATCTAGAGTCCCATTCTGCAGTACTGCTTCGTGGCCTTGAGAGCTAAGTACTGCTTTGGGGTTGCCAGAGGCCTTCAAGGAGAAAGCTGACCTTTTTATTCTACTTCACTCTCTGGATTCTTGCATTTATTTAGTTTTTGACCTCTGAGTAATTCTTCAGTGAACTCCTGCTCATTGATGATTTTTTAAAAAGTGAGGTATTTTCATGCAGATGTTTATTTGATGTACAGAGCTGCCATTCTTCTATAATTGGGTCGTGTTTGTTAGTTTCCTCATACTAACTAGTAGGGCACATCTGCTGCAGAACACACCGCAGTTACTGTGCCAGTATTTAGGTGTAGAATAAAGGTATTTAGTGTGGAATAACTAACATTTGGAGAGTGCTTCCCCAAAATATTCTTAATTTATATTTGTCACTAGATAGATTTTTTTCCAGTAGCAGGTACCAAGATCTTATAGTCAGTTCTTGTTCTCTAGTATAGTATAATAAAACATACCAAGATTTTGGAGGTTACTCTTCATGGCAAAAAAGAATATGTTGTGGCACAAAAAATGGAAAATTATGATGAGTATTTTGTGAACTAGAAAACTATATTCATGAAATAACTGATTTAGTGATCTTTATTATTCCTTTATTTTGCTATTAGATTTAAATTTTTTTCAGTTTTAAAACATTTTATTTTGTACCTCTATAACCTTACATTAAGTTGTCTTAGTTAAATAAAAAATAAATTTCTGATTTTTGAAAGTGGTGGTGTTGCAGTACGCATGCAGTTTACTTTATGGGGTGCTTCTAGAAGCAGAGTTGTCTTTGTTAGTTTTTGTGAACATACTAATGTTAGGCTGTATATATCTTTACAACATTGAGAATTTACCTGTCACAGTGTTTCAGGCCAAATTATGGTGGTAGAAGAAGACAGTCTGATTGAGGAAAGTTTAACTGAAGAAACTATTTAAAGGTGATGGTCAGGATCATTGCCCAGAGTGTTTAGTAAATAGTTGTCAAATGAATTAAGTTTAAGTCTGGTAAGCAGATTGATACATGGTTACATTATGATACCTTTTGATTGCTAATATGCATCAGAAATGGTTAAGATTTCACAGTCTTTAATTTGCTTTTCTTCTGTTTGTAGTTTCTTTTCTTTTCTTCTTCTTTTTTTATTAAAGACCCTGCCATCCATTTATCCATTTTTGAGACAGGGTCTTGCTATGTAGCCCAGGCTGGCTTTGAACTCACTATGATCCTCCTGCTTCAGCCTCCCAAGTGCTAGGATTACAGGCCTGTGCTACCATTCCTGGCCATCTGCCCATTCATTTAAGACAAGGACTTGCTGTGTAGTTCAGGCTGGCCTTGAACTCAGTACGTAGTCCAGGCTGGCCTCAAACTCCTGGCAATCTTCCTGCCTCAGCCTCTCAAGGGGTAGGATTACAGGTGTGTGCCACCACACCTGGCCTGTGTTTCTAGTTTCATGCATACCTGTATTGTTTCTGTACTGAATTTCTAATCATTCTCTATCATATCTGAATTTTCTTAATGTTACTTCTTATTTTGAAGGTTAGTTTTTAATGGTGTTTTATTAGCATTTGGTTGAGTGAATTAATTTTTACCAATTAGAACACAAAATATAGTGTAACAAAGCTACTGTCTTTTTTCCACCTCCCTTACCTTTAAAAAACTAGTTCAGAGTATTTTATTTGCCAGGCATTTGGTTCACTACTTGTGATCAGCAATGAATTTTTTTTTTTTTTTTTAAGGCAGGGTCTCTCTATGTAGTTTTGGCTGACTTTGAAGTCACTATGTGCCTGGGAATATAGTTCAGTGGTGCAGCGCCTTCCGGCAAGTGTGAGGCCCTGAGTTCTTCTATTCCTGGTACAAAAAGAAAAGAACAAAACTATGAACTCACTGTGCATCCCAGGCTCAGGCTGGTGTGGAAATGCAGCAGTACTCCTGCCTTGGACTCCTGGGCTGGGATTAGAGGGCAGCACCCCCACAACCTCTGTGAGTGAGAATCCCAGGGCACTGGGTCTGGTGACATATCCCCCATGCCCTCCGTGGGGTATGCACATATAACCCTCCCTGTTGTGTGTGAACTTGAGATCTCTGTTCCAGAGCAGCGTTCTGTAGGTTGTATTTTATCACTCCTTGTCTGGAAACACTATTTTCAACGTCATTGTAAGTATCTGTAGGTTGCAGTCATAATGATAGAATAACTAACCGTTATTAATTCACCTCACCACTTAGCATGTACTATTTAAAGACTTAATAATTTGTTTTGAAAATTAAATATTCAAATATATTCAAATTTTCTTAGCACTTAAAGCCAAGTAAACTCAATCTCTTAGATTTTTCAGTTGCTGTATATTTATATTCAAAGAAGAAAAATCATTATGTTTCTGACTATTTATAGCTTCTTTCATCAGAAGAAAACTGCCACAGCATTTGTTACAGCCAGTCAGATAGTCAGTGTGGTTCTCCTCCAAGGGGTTGGTCAGAAGAGTTGGATGAACGTGGGCATACCTTATATACCAGTGACTATACTAATGAAAAGGTACCATCTTTTTTCTCATCTAGTATTTCTTGGCAAAATCTTCTCATCAAATAATTGTGTGCTGAAGCTTTAGTAGTATTTTAAAAACTTATTAAAATATTCACCTTTGTAATTCTATAATAACGCCAGTTGACAATGAGCACTTAGTGTGTAACTGTTGATTCATGTTTTTTTTTGAGACAGGGTGTCACTATGTAGTTGAGACTGACCTGGAACTCACTATGTAGCCTAGGTTGGTCTCAAACTCACAGCATCCTCCTGCCTCAGCCTCCCGAGTGCTGGGATTACAGGCGTGCGCCACCACGCCCGGCTTGATTCATGGTTTTAAACTGCTATTATATAGTAATTTTTGTGGTGTCGATAACCCACTTTAGACGGACCTTTTAAGGGCAGGCCTAGTAAGAGTCCTTTGTTTAGATTTCTTCAGTAAGCATATTTTTTTGAGAATAGATTTTTGGAAATTGGTTTCTCAACCCACCATTATTATATGCTGTCTTACCGCCTAGACTCCTTTTTCTGCAATGGCTAAATTTGTATAAAACAAAAACCATGAATCTAGTAATTTATGAATGAAAGGTTTGGGAATGAATATTGAAAATTTATATGGGTATTACATCTGGTGTTGCTTAAGAAGGTAACTGGTTGTGCTAGTTTACAGAATTGACTCTGGAATAAAGACTCAGTTATTTGCCACTAGAGCATATGGAAGTGATAGCGTTTTCATTTGTAGGAAACTAAGATCATATGTTCATATTAGTACACCTTCGTTGTCCCCTCAAATTACTTGTATAACATTAACCCAAGCCCATGCTTTTCATGAACCTGTGTCCTTGTATCTTTACGTCATGTTTCTTGTTACGTGGTTAACTGATACTTGACTCACTATCCTGATATTGGAGGAAAGAAACATTTACATTAATATTGAGCACTGCACTTATTTTTACCATGTTTAAAATGCAAATCTGTAAGTTTATTTATTTATTTATTTATTTATTTATTTATTTTTTGCAGTTTTCTTAGCAAGTAGAATAAAATTCATAGGAATAGAATTTAATGTCTGGTATTAGCATCTTGATTTCACTTAAAATTTTAAAATCCTGTTGTATCTCTATAGTGGCTCAAGCATGTTGATGACCAAGGTAGACAGTATTACTACAGTGCGGATGGATCTCGGTCCGAGTGGGAGCTGCCAAAGGTAATGACCCTTCTCAGGGAACTTCTGCTTATAGTTGTGGATGGAGCCATAGTGGAGGTGATTTCAGCAGATTTGTTTTTCATATTGTTATTCGGCTTTTAAAAATAGGAAGACTTTGTTTTCTTTTTTGTCTGTTAGAATTCACTGAGAATCCTGTAACTGGCTAAATTCGTCTAGGTGTGCAGTTAGCTTTACTGTGTGGTACTTCTTATTCCTATTCAGAAATTCTTTGGGTTTAGCTTGAGGTTGGTCTTTGATCATTCCTGGAAATAAAGATTCTCTCCTGTGGCAGTCATGCCATCTTATGTTTAATTACCTTGTGTTTTCTCCATGCAACTACTCTTAAATTTACTATTTTTAAGGGACAGAAAAGTGACTTCTCATTCAAGATTATCCTTTTGAGCAAGTGTTGTAATTCAGTCACTGGCTGAGAGGCAGTATGTGGTGCTGAGTTCTGCAGGGGTCTAGCTGAAAAATCTCTGAGGGAGGAAGAAACTGAGTTACATCAGAACCTAAAGGGGAGCTCGGTAGCATGATCCTAGCTGCTGATCATCACATGACCATTCAGGGACCCTCAGTTTTGTGACATTTATCTCCTTTCATCATTTGCCACATACCATGTTAAAATGTTTTAGAAGTTTCTTGAACTCTCAGTTAAATCAGATACAGCAAGGAAGCTTGAATTGGGTTCTGTGAGAGTGGGAGAATTCAGGAAAAGTATTTTAGATCTTCTACTTGGTAGATTATTGCTGTGTACAAAAGGCAGTTGCAGGTTAAATTCTGTACCCTAAGTAATGTAGCACTCATGCCAAGTCTAGGTAAGTTCTGTCAGATAGGCTTACAACCCACAGTACAAATATAGTACTAGAAATTTACTGTTTTCTGAATATATTTAGTCCTGTAGTCTTTACTCTTTAAGAAGCTTATGAGTGAATTTGGAATGAAGAACCCATTTCGTGCGGCCGCTAAATACACACCCACACACACACGCACACTCACACAAAACCATCCCTGGTTCTGAATTGGGTATGGGGCAGGGAACCACCAAAATATGTACTGGACAAGAAGCAGGATTTGGAGTAGGAAATAAAGAAATGAAGTGAATGAAGAGAGAGAAAACACAAAAATTGCAAATACAATGAAATCTAATATTATTATAGACTCAAGAAAATCAATAACCACAGCATTGTACTGAAGGTGAAGTTAATTTTCTTAATAAAGACTTAAACTAGGCATTCTGTGGATGATCAAGTTAAATGAAGTCTTTCATTTAAAAAGAACAATAAATTTCCAGGCATGGTGGTACATGCCTATCATCCCAGCACAAGGGAGGCTAAGACAGGAAAATCACCATGGTGCCAGCTTGGGCTACATAGTGAGTTCAAGACCAGCCCGAACATAGCAAGATTCTGTCTCAAAGCAGTAACAATAATAACAGTAATAACAAAACAACTAAACCAAATTATGAAGAACAAAACATGAACAGGTAAGTACAATAAGGAATACATTAGAAATCTTCAACAAGAAAAAGGTGGCTATTGAAGTAAAAATAGCAGATTGCATACTCTTGAAAGAGGGCCAGAAAAGTAACACATATGGATTGAAAGTTTTCTGTATTCATTTACTAGAAATTTCAAGAGAGTGGATGAAGCAGTAGAGAAACTACTTAAATATATAATTTCTGGGAATTTTCTAAAACTAAGGAAGGCATAAGTTTTATTTTCTTTTGTTATTTGGTACTGGTGATTTAACCCAGTGCCTTCACAGAGTTACAGTCCTGCCTCTTTATTTTTTATTTTGAGACAGAGTTTTACTGAGTTGCTAGGCAGAGTTTGAACTTGTGATCCTTCTGTCTCAGCCTCTCAGAGTGCTGAGGTGATGGGTATGTGCCACCATGCTGGGTTAGGCATGAGTCTTCAACTGAAAAATATGCCACAAATATTGACCAAGTTAGATAAAAATAGATCGGTAAGCCAGGGATTTAGCTCAGTAGCACTGCGTCTGCCTTGGAAGCATAAGGTCCTGCGTTCAATCCCCAGTACCTCCCCGCCCCCCCCAAAAAATGAGGAAGTTGATAATTTTGCTGGAGGTGCAGAACTTCAGGGTAGGAAGACAATCTTATAAGATGTCGAAAGGTAAATGGATACGTAGAAACTTAAATCAACTACCTAATTTTTCTGAATACATCTTTGGTGTGCAGTACTATGTAGACACGATGAACACGAATCCATAGAGCATGGTCTTTACCCCTAAGAAACCTGTTAGGAGCGCGAAAGATGAAAACTGTCCAGCAGTGGCAGATAGCACCATTGGATCCAGACTTCATCCCCTTCTGTACCAGTGCTCTTTCTCTGAGTCTGGGGCCCAGAGCCTGTTCTGCTGCCACGGCTGGAGTTCAGTCATGTGGCTTGCCCTTGCCGATGGTATGTGAGCACGCATGGCACAGCAGAGTATTGATGTGGTTTCGGATGTGTGTTGTGTTGGTTACTGTACACCCAGAGTTAAAGGGGAGAGGTTTATTTGGCTCACAGTTTGTAGAGGTTTCAGTTCATGGATGTCCAGCTCCAAGACGGGTGAGAAACAGGCCTCGCAGAGGAGAAACAAATGGTGTGCACAAGGCAGCAAAGGCAACAAGAGAGACCTTAACAGTGTCTTTCTGCTCCTATGATCTTTTTCAGACCACTTAGTGCAGACAACACTCATGCCTGTAGCCCTAGTGCCCTTGGACCTAACCCCACCATGAGCCAGTCACAGGATCTAGATTTAACTACCTCTGAACAAGCAAGAGGCTTTGCGGGACGCCGTAACAGGGTGTCAGGCTTGCTCCCGTACCTCTGCCAGTATCATGGAATGCGTAAGCCCAAGATCGTCTCCTGGTCCCAGGAGGAAAATGAGAGCCCTCTGGAAGAGGTGTGCACATGAGCTTTTCTAGATCAGCCAGCTTATTGCTGACCCAAATTTGTGATAATAAGTGATGCGCATTTTAATAGAGCCTGTTCTCCCTAGTCATTTCAGTTACACCTGCTCTGTTTCCGTGAGCAGCGTCATGTGCCCTGCACGGTATGCAGTGGAGCCTTTCAGCATCCCTGGCTGGTCCCAGTGGGCCAGCATCTTCACCCTCCCACCTGTGAGCTGTGGAGAGCATCTAGAGGAGCCCTGTTGACCAGCCCCATACTGCATGGAGAAGCCTGTGGGTTACCTCACTCTGCTCCAGATGAACAGCAAGTAGCACATGAGAGTGGGAAGAGGGTTACAAGTGAAAGGGACTCAAGAGCTCTGTGTCTGAGGTCCTGGGTCCAACTCTGGATGACCCAGGTGTGAAAGCAGCCAGAAGAAAACCTCTACGAAACCCTCTGTTCTGAGACAAGGTTTGTGTGGAAATAACTGGCCCAGGTTTTAAATTGACCTCTCGGTAGCATATGGACAGAACCGACTAGAAGAGCCTAAAAAGATTTGCAAAGCTAAATGACATTTGAACTATCAGCCATAAAAGTGAACCAAGATGTGCATTCTCAACCTAAACAGGTTTATATCCTTCTAAAGTAGCAAATGTGGACAGAAATCAAAGTCGTGTTGCTCAAAATACTAGAATTACCATAAAAGAACCAGTAAAATCACAAGTTGAATGAAAGAAGACAATCAGTAGCTGCCAATACTAAGATGACAAAGGTAAGAGAATTATCTGATGAGGATTTAAAAGCAGCTCTTTGAACATGCTTGAGATGAGTGAAAAACTCAAGAGAATCTTAGTAGAGAAATACAATGCTCTATGGAAGAACCAAAGGAATTGTTAAGACCAAAACAAAATGCTGACTGAATAGACTCAAGCAGAGTAGTAGTGAGAGAAAAGAGAATCAGTGATCTTCAGGCAGTCAGCAGATTATACAGGCCGAAAACCAAAGAGCATAAATAGAGGCCTGTGGCCACACACAAAAGATCCCACATTCCTTTCATTGGAATTCCAGAAGGAGAAGAGAGTGTGAGGCTGAAAAGTATTTCAAGAAATGTTTGAAAACATTCCGACTTTGGTAAAAGACAAAAGGAGCTGAATAAACATCACATTAAATGAACCCCAGGAAATTTATTCTGACCTACTATGATCAGGTTTCTGAAAACAGCCTAAACCCTGCTCTGTACCTCCAAATTCTGGAAAGCAGTTCTGTGAAACAAATATTACCTGTATGATAACAGTGTAAATGGCAGTGTACATCCTACTGGAAACCACGAAAGCTAGAGGAAATGGTGTAACATTTTACAAATGCTGAAAGCAAAATACTGTCTACCTGTAATTCTGTACTTGGCAAAAATGTCCTGTAGGAATGACACTGTCAGAGGAAAGTAAACTAAGAACTGTATCCTCATTTTTTTTTCCTCTCAGAAGAATTTCAAATAGAAGTGAAATGATAACTGAAAAAACTTGATAAGTCAGGAATGAATAGAGAACAATAGAAAGGGTGAATATCCAAGGACCCTATTTTCCTGTGTTTTTAAAATGATGCTTGACATTTGAAACAAAAATTATAAAATTTCTGAGGTAGCACTCATACACAAATAATTTTTAAAATAAATATATCAAAATGGAGAGATAAAGGAAGGTCCTTGTGGGTAAGTTTTCTTTATTCTCCTTGCAGTAGTAAAATGTTGATACTGGTAGTCTGTGATAAATGTGCATATTGTAACCCCTAGAACAAGTACTAAATAATTGTAATAAAAGAGACTTAAACTATAGTTATATTAAAATATAATGAAAATTTCTTGAGTCGCCCATAAGAAGACAGAGAAGGAATAGGAATGCTACATAGAAAAGAAAACAATAAGCTGGCAGACTTAAATTCTAATGTATAAATAGCTACATGAATTATAAATGGCTAAACACACGTGTTAGATTTTCAGAATGGTTGAAACACTATGACACAAGCACAGAAGAAAATCAGTTAAATATGAGACACCTTGCTGACAGTTACCTGTCACGTAATCTACAGCAAACTTCATGCTTTACGGTGAGATTTACAGATGCTTTCCCATGAGAGTTATGAACTAGATTAGAACTTTACACCACTGTCTATTCAAAAAATTAAGAAAAAAATAGATTTGAAAAGGAAGATGTAATTATATTATTAACTGTTAGGAAATCCTAGAGAATCTACAAACTTAAAACATGAAAAGTTCAGACTTCTCAGTTATAAAATCAGCATAGAAATTATTCATTTCTCTACTAAAAAGCTTGAAAATATGATAGGAATAAAGAGCTCATTGTCTTTAGTAGCAACAGAATTATAACAGTATGCCTGTTAAAGGTCTATAACATATTAATATTCCTGGATTGAGAAGCTTAATTTTCTAACAATATACAAATTAATGGATTCTTATAACACCCCCCCACACTAATTTTTGGAAGTGAGTCTGAGATTTATATTTGTAGACAGAGGCCCATGGAAAGCTAACATACTCTGTACACAAAGAATTGGGAGTGGGGCAAGAGCTATTTGGCTCTTGCTGTGGTAATTAAGTTGAGACAGTAAAGGCGCATATGCAGATAGAAGGTGGTCAGTAGTGAAGAACAGAAAGTCCACATGTGGCCTTACAAATCAGTAGGGTGAACATGGACTGCAGTAAATGTTAAGATTATTGGTTATTTGAAGTAAAATAATAAAAATAGATCTGGAGCTCTTTTCATGCTCAATGATTTCAGTTAGATTAAAGGTGTAAATTTAATAATCAAAGTGTTAAAGATTGTACAGGGATCTATCAAAGAGTATTTCCAACTGCAGAGCAGTCTGTAAGAGACAGTCAAAAATATGTAGATAAAATGCATGACTATGCAAGACACCAAAGAATCAATATCTGGAAAGCATTTTAACTTTCCAAGCATTCAGGAAAATGTAAATTAATACAATGAATATTTAAGTCTTTTGAAAACATGTAAATGTATACACCCAGAAGTACACAACAGGATCAAAATATAAGATAATTGTTTAAAATTTTTAAATTGGGCCGGGGATTTAGCTCACTGGTTCTGCTGCCTTCCTCGTAAATGCAAGGACCCAAGTTTGATTTCCGGTACCAAAAAAAATTTTTTTTAAAAATTTGTTACAGTAAAACATATCACCATTGATCCTCCTCAAAATATTCCCCTCGCTTCAAAGACATTTTTCCCATCATTCTTGCCACTTTGTGAAGAAGTTTGGGACGTTCTCTTGTAAGCGGCTTTACAGGTTGTGATCAGAAATACAGTACATGCTACCAAGTGCCACGCAGTGGAAAGGCAGGCTTGTGAAAACATTACATTGTGTTTTCATCCACTTTGTTCACTGGATCTGGCACCGTGCGACTTCTGGCTCTTCCCACAGTCAAAATGACCACAAAGGGTGAAGTGTTTTGAATTGATTCAGGGCTTTGAAACAGCCATGACACTGCACCTGAAGATAGATACTCAGCACAGGAGGACTTCCAGAGGGCTTCAGAGTGTGGCAAGGATGACAGGGTAAGTTTGTTCAGAATAAAGGGGAATATTCTGAAGAGGATTAACAGCAGTGAGTATTTTACTGTAAACAATTTTTAGAAATTTAAATATTGACTATTTTTCAGTCATACTTTGTATATTATGCACACAAAGTTTAAGTTAAACAACATTACATTGAGTATTGAATGTAAGGCAGTGTAAAGCATCGTGTTCTGCTGGCAGGAGTGTAAGCTGGTGTTAATGTCTTGCACATAGGGCTGGGGATTTAACTCATTGGTTCCACTACCTTTCTCACAAGTACAAGGTCCCGAGTTCAATCCCCAGTACCCCCCCAAAAAAACAAATCTTGCACGTTTGCTTGCATCAAAATTATGTTCTTTTGATATGTACAAATGTCAAAACAAACTGAGATTGAAAAAAAAAAATTTTTGTTGCCATGGAAATAAAATTCAGGGCTTTGCACTTGCCAGGCAGGCACCATGCTGCTGAGCTACATCCCCGGTCCAAGTGAGACTTAAAAAAAAAAAACAAAAAAAACCCAGGAATGTATTGAGTAAAAAAGTACATTGAAAAATGGTGTGATGATATGATTTCATTTTTAAGCCTATAACTATTGATATGTGTGTCAGTATAAAATGTGTGAATGATGAACACTGACTGAACTTGTGGTACAGCTGGGGATGCAGGGGGTGAGAGATAGTGGAACCTGGAAGTTGCATTCAGGTGACACCTAATGTGTATATAACATTTCCTTAGAAAAATACTTGAAGCAAATGTCTTATGTTAATAGGCTAAAGCTTGATAGTAGGTTTTCGTGAAAGTTTAGTCTTTATATGCTTAAAATATTTGACAATAAAAATTCAGTTAAAGTTCTTGAAACAAACTTTTTTTTTCATTGAGTTTATTGGTACTTTTTAAGTATACAGTGCAGTTACATTCATCATTGGGATCTTGTACCTTTACATGCCAGATCTTGGTTCTCATTTTTTCCCCATACCCTTGCCCTCCCTTCACCACCCCCTCAACTCTCTCCTATTTACAAATGAAACAAATTTTTAAAAAGGTTTTTCAAAAAATGTTAATTTTGGTCATCTTTTTAAACTTAGGTATGTGTTATATGTTTTAACTGTGAGGTTTTTCTTTACGTGTTGTCTTGTGTGTTAGATTTTACACATAACTACACTTTATTTTTTGCTAGAGATGACTGAGTCACAGGGAAGAGAGAGCTCTGTTTACTATTGGCTCTCTTTACACTTATGAGATAACTGGTACAGAACTTTTTGGAGGCCTTCAAGTGTCATCATTGTTTAGTCTAGAAATGGTCAGTTTGGGGACTTCTGTAATAATCTTAAGACTGCTGTTTATCAGGTAACAATGAGTTACAAACAAATACCCTGGCTTTGGTAAATTGTAATGCAAAGATCAAAGTAACAGCTTTGGGAGACAGTTGAGGGGGCCTAGATGGATTCATTTTGGAGAGTAGAGAGTGTCACTGTGGAGAGAGATACTGCAAAAATTTTTTTTAACAAAAGAGCCTTAAAATATAGTTGTGTTGAAACTAATCAGAGTTTTAAAAGTTAAGATTTGCTAGACTGCAATTATGAGTGAGGGTATTTGGTATTAGTTATCTTTTGATTTTAGAAGAATGTATCTATTAAAAAGTAGATTAATTTTTTGTTGTTCTGTTATGTATAATTTATTGAAATTGCCTATGTAAGACTATTATTCTAAAGGCTTTAAAGTTCTCAAAAAATTTTTTTGATGATCTCCTTGGGTTTCAAACTCTTATAGGACTTAATATCTTACTAATAACATGTTCTTAATTTTATATGTAGGTTTTTTTTTTTTTTTTGGTATTGATTATCCTTGTATATAGCTGATATATTCAGAAATGGCCTTTAGAACTAACACCGCCTGAGAAAAACAAATAATAGTATGCCTGGCCTTTAAGTGAAAGCAAAGAGAAAACCTAAAACCCCAGAACCTTAAATATAAGAATACTGTTGTACATATAAGCATTAGTTTTATTTTATTTTATTATTTATTTGTTTATTGGTGCTGGGGATCAAACTCAGGACCTCTTGCTTGCCAGGCAGGTACTGTGCTGCTGAGCTGCATCCCAGGCCCTAAGCATTAATTCTTAAATGTAGACCAAAAATTAAAATCATGTGGATTTGATAATTGACATGATTGTAAATTAAAAGTAAAATTGTCTAGAGATCTCCTTTTATAAATTATGATAGTTTATGTTTTTTGAAAATCTACTATTGGGAATATCTGGTGCCTTTTATACCTTGGCAACTCTTTTTTTTTTTTTTTTTTTTTTTTGACCCTTCACCCCCTCCTCCCCTCCCCATTTACAAACACTTTATTTCCATTTTTTCAGTTTCTCATATTTTTTTCCTCTCCCTTATTACCTTTCCCCCACCCTTCCCACTTTCCCTATACCTTTAGCCCTTTACTTCCTATTTCACATTATTATCTCATTAGGATCCTATGTACTATTATAGTTTTTCACACCAAAGAAACTATTCAGTATTTCAGTTAAAGAAATCTCTGTATGAACATTAAAAATACGGAATCCTAAAATCAAACTAAAAAGGACAGTAAAAGAGAAAAGGCAGTGATGTAACTTTAGAATAATCCTTAATTCTGGAGATGAAAATGGTCCCTGAACATATTTAAATTGCTTCTTGCTCTTATAGTCTTATTCTTTTCCTTGTCAACTCTTTAATGCAACTTTGTGAATAATATTATTTTTGTTATATCTTTTGCGGGGACAGTTGGAGAAAGTCTGACTTAGGGAGATTGAATATTCTTCAGAACACTAACTGGATCTTTCCATTGCTGGAATCTGTGGCCTTCTCAGTTGTGTTGCCATGCGGGACTGATATAACTGAGGTAGAAAATTCATGGTAGTGTCACAAGTGAACTGAGCCTAATACCCATGTGTGGTTTGGAGCCAGCATAATTAGATTCCACTTGTGTTTCCATTAATTAATGAAGTGTATTTTATTTTCTTTAGTATAATGCTTCATTCCAGCAGCAAAGAGAAATAATTAAAAGTAGGAGCCTGGACAGGCGGCTGCAAGAACCAATAGTATTAACGAAGTGGAGACATAGCACCATTGTATTGGACACCAATGACAAGGTAGGACTTTCAGGGAAAATCTCTTGAGAATTTTGGCAAGTTCTTTTACATTATATCATATAGTACATTGTATGCTCTGTTGTTAAATGGTTTTTTGCTAAAACATTTCATTTCTTTTGAACCAGCTGAAGCTTTTGATTTGCATATACTGAAATATACTCATATATGTATTTTTAACTAAATGATATATCTTAGTGGCTAGTGTTTCACCTAATAGGTTTTGGCTTTGGATTTTTTTCAGTTTTTGGACAATGGGCTGACTTAGCTGTAGCTCAGTCATGTATATGCTTGACATACTAAACCTAATGAGTGACATTTTAAAATCATACTTCTGTCATGTTTTTGCATGTCTTCAGGTCTTAGGAGGTTTCAGAATGGCTGCAGTTCTCATCTCAGGAAAGACTAGAATTCAGATACACTTTGATATAAACACTGAAGAGACTTTTCAAAAATTTCCTTAGGAATTACTTCTTTGTAATGTGGCTTCATTTGGCTGGTGGGGTACTTAGTACTTGTTTGCAGAAAACAGACATACAAATATTAAAATGCAAAACTGGTGGTAACATCCCTAAACTAGATAAACTTACTTTAGCTTTTTTGAGGCTGGGTCTAACTGCACATTCAAGGCTGGCTTTGAATTCATGGTGATCCTTTCTGCCTCAACTTTCCAAGTCCTGGGATTACAGGTGTGTGCACTATACCTGTTTTCAAAAAAAGGTATCTGTCATTGAGGACTGACTCTTTTTTCTTTCTTTTTTCTTTTTTGGCTCTAAAGCTTCTCTTGTAGCAAAATTTAACAGTTTTTCACTATTTTTGCTGTATTGCTTAGTTGTGTTAATGAAAATAAAATGAACTCTTAAGACATATATGTCTATATTTGGATACTTTCAGTCGTAATTCCTTTATAAACAGTTGATTTCAAGACAAGTGTAATATTTTTATATCCATGACTGTAAAATTAACTTTGTATGTTAATAGTAAACTTCTGTGCAGCTATAAAAATAGTTGACACAATGTTTGTAAGATGAACTTAACAAGGAAGGAAGACCAGTTCATAGCTTTTGTTTTATAAGGGTGTTTTATGCAACTGAATGTAGAGGCATATTAAAAGGTCTGTGCTATTGGGGAGAAGCTGGAAAATAGCATTGAGATTAGCTTAGGCAAGTGAAATTCCTAGAGATTTTTAAAATTAATTAATTAATTATTTATTTATTTTTTGAGACAGGGTCTTACTATGTAGTTGAGACTAACCTGGAACTCAGAGATTTTTTTTAAATAGTAAAATTCATTGAAGCTCTTAGATACCATGTATAATACTCCAAGGCATAAGCCATTGTTGAATTACCTCCACTCCCTGTTTGTACCAGAACGAATAAAAGGTGATAATTTGATGAAACATACTTAAAAATTTTTTTGTTTTAAGTTTTTCTTGAGATTTATCTTTAATGTTTACTTCAAATACCATGGGTGAAGTCTTATTATATTCCTGATTGATTTAATTGTCCCAGAGTTGCAAGACTTTGATCGTCTTGAGACCTGAGATAACTTATTTTTAATAGGAATGCCCCTGACTTTACTGTTTGGAAATTTATTCATACCTAATTGCTCCATGAAGTAAACTTTTCTGTTTGTCATTACCTATGTGAGGTATTATAAAAAGAGTGATGTTTAAATTTTAAAAAATTGTGATAAAGACAAATTCCCATTAATCCCTCTCAGAATATTCCTTCTCACTATGAACACACCTCTTCTATCATTCCTGCCACTTGTAAACGATTTGTAGAAGTTCTCTTTCTTATCTTTGGTTGCACTGTCATGGGTGCCTTGATGTCCTCAGTCGATTAAAAATATTTACCTTTTGTGGTCATTTTGGCTTTGGATAGAGTCTGAAGTCTTGTGATGCCATTGTAGTGGCTGGGGTGGAGGAGGACAGGCATGGAACGGTGCTCGGCAGCACCTCGTAAGGACACTCATGAAGGAGGACTTCCAGTACTGGTTCTTCAGAAAGTAGAGCGATGGATTAAGTGTATCAGAAGCAGGGGGGATTAATGGCCACGTGTCTTTTACTGTATAATTTAAAAAATTTTTAATTCACTGTATATACCTTTTTAAAATGGGGCAGTCCTGAGGATATGAAAAAAGAGCTTAATCAGAATAATGCATTATATAACAAGTATATGTAAGTTGAAAGGTAACCAAAGAAACCTGGTCCTGTATAACAGATGTTGTTGTGACAACCTAGGTACTAATTCAGCCTGGCAATAACCTTGGGGGATGTAGATGTTTGGCTGTGAGTGAATCTCTGTTTCTGTTTATGTGTGGTTTTCACTACAACTCCTGTTTGTAGATCTATGTTATTTACATATGCATTTATAAATGTAAAATTGTTCTTGTTTATACTAATGATAATGTTATGCATAGATTATTGTTCCATATTTGTCTTCTATTTTTATAGGACTAACAGTCCTATAAAACCACCTTGTCAGATTGTTTTAATTACCCTTTTTGAGAAGGCAAAAAACCTTGAGGGTATATTGAGATTTGAAGAATAATTTAATTACTTTTTATGAAGATGTTTTGATACAAGTTTAGTATTCCCCAGTAACGGTGTCTCCCTTAGGTGTGTGCCTACAGATGCAGGCACCTCGTTTCTGTTCATAGGCTCCAGCCCGACAACCTTCTCTCTGATGAATGAATACTGAGTTGGTGGTTTTGCAGTGTTACTTAAAATAAATGCCCTGATTTGTTTTTAGTACCTTTCCAATTTCATAAACAGAAAACTAGAATGATATGAATATGGAGATGAATTTCAAAAGGTAGTGATAGGAAAATTAGCAGTCGATATTGGTGTATGATTTTTTAAAATTTTCTTTTCCTGGAAGTATTCAAAGCACAGTGGAATGCAGAAAATTTAAATGGAGCAAGGCTGTCGGTAGCAAAAAATGTTTTTCAGTCTTATCTTCCATGAGTAATTTTTAATTTTGAGAAAGCAGACGGATATAAAACCTCATACTAGTTTGCTTTTAGGGTTCTATAGTCCTAAAAGTTAAAACATTTTTTTCCTTATGTGATATTAGTCTTTTAATCTTAGGTTTCTTCCTTTCATAGTTTTAATCTTGCTTTTTTTCTGATCACTGAAAAGTGAGCTATAAATTAAATATTAAGCACTGTTGACTAAAATAGCTGTATATAGCTGTATGTAGCAGTTGACCAAAATAAAATTTCCTTCAGGAAGTTACCAAATAGTTCCTGTGAGTATCCCTTGCCTAATCCTATGTATTCATACCTGCCACATCAACAGCAAATTGGTGTGAAGACTGATACATGTTTTTCTAGGAGAGTTTAGATTGTATTTATTTAAAATATGGTTAATTCAGACTGATATAACATCATGACTTTAAGCTAGCAGGCAGCGTTTGTTTTGAGTAATTTTGTATACATCATTAAAATTTAACTAATCACTACATAAAATGCCATATCTCATAAAGTTTTTATAACCCCAGTAGTTTTCAAACCAGTAACATACTAATTTTGGAATTGGATATAGAAGGGAAAAATAACAAGGAAAATAGTTTTCCTTGATGACCTAATTAAGCTCTCCCACTGTGAATACAAGGAGAAATAGAATTATGTAAAATAGAGTAACTTTTTTCATTACTTATTTTTTGTAGGAGTCTCCAACTGCCTCAAAACCCTGCTCTCCTGAAAGTGAATCTTCTCCCTCTTCACCAAAGCACCAAGACCCAGTTAGTATGATAGAAGCAATATAACATAGTCCACTTATCGCAATCAGTTTCAGTAAATTATAAAATGTAATGCTTAACTATTTCCTGGGTTCTACAACATATCATTGTTTTTTTCTTTTTAAGAAAAATTAGAATTAAAACAGGCTTAAAATTAAGAATCAGAGTTTATTGATTTAAAATGCCCTTTTTATCCAAAATACTAACAGGATTAATTTATAAACTATATTTTAGGTGACTACTATATATTTGGTTTTTATAAATAAATACTGAAATTCCCAGAGAAGGCTGTCAAATTTTGCTTTACCCTTTTGTCCTCAGGGCAGCAGTGCAAAGGTAAGAAGAACACCCCTTCTTCTAAGCAGCAAAGACGCCTGCCTTTTCCGTGGTGCTGTGTGTGTTGATGAGGTGGGGAATCTGCAAGCACATGTTTCCCTTCAGCGTCATCTCCTCTTCAGGGCAGGTTCCTGGATTTCTGTGTGGATGCTCACTCCGGTCTGCCCGATTTGCTGGCCTGTGATTGCCCTTCAGTGCCTTCCCTGCTCTTTCAGAATGCAGTCGCAGTTTCTAGTGAGAACAGGAAGACCGTGTGTGAGCTGGCTTCTGATTGCTCTCCAGCTTTCCCTCGTCCTCCTTGTGTCCTCGTCTTCCATCTCACTTGTCCCTCTGCTCCACTGCCCCCTTCCAGTCCCATAACTCACAGTCCTTACATATGTGGCTTCCATGCCCGCGAGACCGCTCTCCTGTCTTTGTCTGGGTCATTTATTAGGGCTCCTCCTGTCCCAGCCTCGCAGAGTGGTGGAATTACTGGCGTGTGCCACCTTGCCGGGCAAAGCCCCGTACCACTTTAAAAACTCTTGGGGGAGGCTTTGCCACCCTGGCCCCCTGTAGTAACTATTTCTTTTCTAGTTTTGAACTCCCACGTCTTGTGTTGCCTTGAGTGAGTGCAAGGTATTTTGTGTACCCTCAGTCTCCCCGCTAGGTTAAAAGCCCATGAAGGAGTTTATAGATAGGGACTTCATGTTTCCACCTTTGACCTTTTGGATTTTTTTCTTTTGGATTTTTTTAACATGGTACTGGGTCCATAAACATTAGGCAGAGGTAAAAGTGAACATGATTTCAGTGGTTTTGGCAAGATTTACAGTATAACTCTAAGGCATTGTTAGATTAGTATTCCTAATCTGTCAGCCCATTTAGAAAAGAAAGAAATGTCTTATTTTAAATATACATAGTATACACTTCTAGAAAACTCCTTTACGGACTGTGCACACTTTGATAAAAGGAAATTTCTGATACCCTAGAAAAAGGTATTTGTAAGTCTTCTCCATGCAGTTGCAAAGGACTATTGATAGATTATTTCCCCAGCCATGGATCTCCTTTGTGAAGTTTGACCCAACTAGACCAGAACTTAACTCACGGTACCCTCGGATGGCCGTCGTGGGGAACTGCTGTGCCTGTGCTTCTTGTACCCCACCCCCATTATGTTTCTGCAGGTTAGGTGCCATTTCCTTCCTCCAGAGGGCCTCTTCTAGCTCTCGTGCCCTCCCCTAAGGGCTTTGCATGTCCCTCTTTCTGCCCGCAAGGACCCTTCTGCTCAGCTTGCCTCCCCGCCACTCTTACCCCATCACTGCAGGGAGAGACTTGCCCCTTGTTTGTGGGTTCTGGGCTGGGTTTGCATAAAAGCTTATTGATGGGACAAGGAAGCTACAGATTTGGAAAGAAAATGACACCATGACTATTTAGCTACACAGTGCCACCTGAAAATCTCTGAAGTTCTCCATTTACCTCTTTGATCTCTTTTAATCGAAAAAGATTTAACATTCCATCCCTTAATATAAATTTTAAATGTTAATTTTTTCTTATGCTTCATTTTCAGTTTTCAGGTGGATTATTGTTTTCATAGTCCTTTCAAATCTTTTTTAAAAATAGGCAATATAAACATACATTTGTTGAAAAATTAGTTATATATTTTTCCACAAGATGCCTGCAGTGTGAATTATGTGGGCTTTTGTGGATGGGTCTAGAAGTATTCTTTATTTGACCTGGTGTGCCAATAGTGCATGCACTTAAAGGTTCCCAGTCACCGAGTGCTGGAAAACATCTTGGTGCATGTAACTGGGAAAATTGAACTCTTGACCTTGAATACTGAACTGTGGTGTGAAAGTGCACCAAGCATTTTGGAGAAAAGGATATTTCAATACTTCCTTTACCAAGATTACTAGTGGATAAATTTGCTGGTTTTTATTGAGTAGTGCTTATTCTAAGACCTTCTAAGAACACGATTTGCATATCTAATTTTTAAATAATGCTGACCCTTCATTTTTCTTTTGTTGAAGTAAAATTATCTCAGCAACACAAAAGTATCGATCAATTTTGAGTCACACTATATATTTAAAATATACCACATAGCGTGAAATAAAAATGTGCCTTATTTGGGGAAATATTTTCACCGAGTCTCTTAGCTGTGTATCCAAACCTGTGTTATCCATCTGCTTACTTAGCACCTTTATATCAAATTCAGCATCTTTGGTGTTTAGGAATTAGAGCTTTGTTTTCTCTGTTGCTGGCCTTCTCATTTTTTTAATGTTGTACCATTAACTTGTTAGCAGATTGCTTCTAGAAGATGTACTGAACACTGTCTGTGTGCTAGATGCTGTGCCCAGCATTGGTTGTAGTGATGATGTGCTTACAGGTGTGCTCCAGCCTATGGCTTACTTGGGTAAACCATGGATAGAGACGGATGCAGAGCACCTGATTCAGTCCATTTGGGCTGCTGTAGCAAAAATATCTCAGGCTAGGTAACTTACAAGCAGTAGAGGTGTATTTCTCACAGACCTGGAAGCTGAAGTCCACACGGCACTTGCTGTCTGCCAAGGGCCCACTTACTGGTGTGTCCTCACTTGGCAGAAAGGCTAACCAGGAAGGACCCACTCTCACGTCCTCCATCACCCCCCAGTACTATCGTGTTGGGGATTAGGTTTCAATGTAGGAATTTGGGGGGGTCATAAGCATTCGATGTATGGTAAAGTGTAATGAAGGAATCACTGGGGCGGTAGGAAATGACAGGTTAATTACTACTTTTAGGAGGAGGGTGAAGGAGCACCTACTGAGGAATGATCAAGGAAAGCTTCTCTCAAAATGGGAAACCAAAAGTGCTCCATCTACCCAGTTCAGGTGTAATGCTTAGCCGCACCCCCCATCTAGTCCTTGTCAGTTTTGTCTCTTGGCTTTAGCCACTCTTCTCCCTGTCACTGCTCTGCTCCAGGGTTCCTCACTTCATACAGTAACTACAGGAACAGTATTCCAGTTGGTTCCCCGTTGTGCTGCTTTTTCTTAGTTCATTCTTTCCAGTGTCTCATTTCTTGCTACTTCTCTCCCCCACCCTGTACTTTGAGGAAAATTAAAGGCCCTTCAGAGATGATAGCCTTCTTGCCTCTGTCCCTTTCTACAGTGTGTTATTTTCAACCCCTCTTTCCACCTTGCTAACTTCTGCTTCAATCCAGGAAGCTGTCTGTGATTGTCTTCTTTCTTTCCCAGGTGGAGTTTGGTTTTTTTTCCAGGCTGAGTTAGGAATATATACATTTCTCTCCTCTCCTCTCTCCTCTTCTCCCCTTCCCCTCCCCCATATGCCCTTCCTCTCTCTCTCCCTCCCTCCCTCCTCTCACCCCCTCCTCCTCGCCCCTCCCCTCTCTCTTTTTCAAGGGATCAAACTCAGGACCAGGTGCTTGCCAGGCAGGCATTGTGCTGCTAGGCTCCATCCCCAGCTCAGTTATATATTTCTTACAGTGTTTAACACATTATATGGTAATTGGTTTTTGTATTTCTAATACATTTCGATGTGGCACATTTTGTTCTTCTTAATGTTCAAGTTAGAGTGCTTAGTACTGACGGCATTCGTACTTGGGTCTGATCCCTGTTGAGAATTTGGTGAGGGTGTGGACCCTCTGACACTGCGTAACATGCACAGTGTGCACCGGTTTCACTTCATCCATTGACTCAGGTAAGCATCCTGCTGTAGACCCTCTCCTGTCCTTAGGCTTAGGCTGGCACTGCTGTGATTCCATCCATTTTCTTCCTGTTTGGACTCTTGTATTTCCTTCCTGCCTCTGTTGCTTTTACATAATTTCAACTGTGGCATTTTTTAATGGCTTTGATTCCCATCTCTCTGCCCTCCCAGTTCCAGTTCACATAACCAGTGTCCACCCAATCTGATTAATGTGGCTTCTTAGTTTCTATAATTGAAAGACTTCTCTCTGCTTCGGAGGAGGAGGGGGTAGTAGGTTGAGAATGCTCTAATTAAACATCTTGTCCATACTTGCAATTGTGTACTGATATTTTTGCAGTTCTTATGAAAAGTGTCAAACTTGAGTAAGGATCATAAAGCTGTTTCTGAAAAAAAAAGTACTTGTATTTCCATATACTCTAGCAAAAATGTAAATTAGCTCACAATTTTCAGCTTTGTCTAAATGAGTTTTTATGAAACCAGGCAAATTTTCAAACATTGTCTTGTAGACATTATTGAGAAAATACTCAGTATTGTGTTTATCTCCTATATAAAATGTGTGTTTTCTGGTTAAGGTACATTGAGAAAATATGGCTGAATAATCAGCTAAATGTTAAAAAATAAATTCTGAACTGAGAATAGTTTTCTTTGTGAATATGTGTATGCCTCTGTACATTTCAGTTGAATTAAAATCGGCTATCACATACGTAAAGTGTTTACTGCAGGTGACAATTGCCATAGGCACCGACCCATTGTGATTGAACTCATTTGACTCTTAAGAAGCTAACACTGTGAGGAAGTGCTTGTCATTATCTGGAATGAATTAAAATAACATTAACCAGTACAGTGGCTTTTGTCATCATAGGGCCTGATGATAAAACTTGCATCACAGTTGCTTTTTGGTACTGGGGATTGAACTCAGGTCCTTGTGTTTGCACGGCAGGCGGTGGAACCACTGAGCTAAATCCCCAGCCCCATCACAGTTGTTTTGTTAGTTTGTTTTTTATTTTACATTAATAAGCTAAACTAGTGGTTTTTCTGGTTTGGGGTTTTTTTGAGACAGGATCTTACTGTGTAGCCCAAGCTGGCCTCAAACTAACGGTAGTCCTCCTTATTCTGCCTCCTGAGTGCTGTGATTACAGGCATGTGCCACCCAGCCTGGCTGCTAATCTGGTATTTTTCAGAGCCTAGCTCCCCTTGTAACATGTCCAATGAAGCACATATTAAGTTTTTTTTTTTCTTTTTGGTACCAGGGATCAAACTTAGGTCCTGCACTTGTGAGGCAAGCGTGGTGCTACTGAACTAAATCCCCAGCCCCATATTAAGATGTGTTACAATAAAGCCAGTTTTATGCAGACTTCCAGTTACTGTTGAGTAAATTTTTAAATAATCACTGTATTTTGCCCCCTTTACATCCTGACAAAGTGGATTAGTATATTGAGTACTTTTCATATTGTCATCTTTTGTGTGATTTTTATCATTATAGCATTGTATCACTTTCCTTGAATAGGAAGACAATCATTTTTCTGGTGCTGACTTATTCCTTTGAAAATCTAATTTGGTAGCAAGATACCTACTAGCTGCTAGGACTTAGGAGAAGGAGAAAGTGTTTATAAAATTACTGAATGTAACTTTACAAAAGTATTAGGAAAATTGTACTCTTAATGTCCTCTAGAACTAAGTTTGTTACACACTGACTAATCTTTTCTTTTAGGCTAATTTTGATTCTGCCAGAATATTTTGGTTCATTTGTATATAGGACTCAGACATGATTGTTATGCAGAATATATAAGCAGAGTTCCTCTGTTCCATAGGGTCAAGAGAAGTATGGATTGTTAAATGTAACAAAAATTACTGAAAATGGAAAGAAGGTCCGGTAAGTACAGATCTTAATGTTCTTACACAATTCATCTGATTGAAATGAATAAAACATTTTATAAATACAATTATATTCTAGGACAAGTGATTAAAAATAATTTCAAATGTATTTTCTGGTGCTATAATGTATGTAAGGTTGTCATGAAATGGATGAAACATTTCCTTTGAACTTGAAATAGTTCTTAAATAATATTAAATTCAGAAATATTAAGGTAGAGGATTCTGAGGAAGCCCTCACTTTCTCAGTACGTCTCGTAAGCAGTAAGTGTACATGGTAAATGCACGTGGTAAAGGTAATTACTGTAGGAAAAATCAGTCACCTGGCTGTCAGCCTTTCTGCAGAGGCAACCAGTTTTGTTTTGATTTGGTTCTTGGTCTTTTGAGGATGGGGTCTCGCTATTCAGGCTGGCCTTGAACTCACTGTATAGCCCAAGCTGGCCTTGAAGTCACAGCTATCCTGCCTCAGCCTCCCACATGCTGGGATTACAGGCATGTGCCAACATGCCTGGCTTAAAACCAGTTTTAAGCCTCATGGGTTTTAGTACTTTCCTCCAGAGGGAGGATGTACATGTATGTAGATGTTTGTATGTACATAGAGTTTCATCATCGTCACTTGTTATTGGTGTAACTTTTGCCTGCAGTGGTAGTTGAGTCCAGTGTCTTCACATTGAGCTGCATCCCTAGCCCCCTTTTTATTATTTTGAGACAGAATCTTGTAAAGTTGCCCATGCTGGGCTCGAACTTGGCAATCCTGCCTCAGCCTCCCAGATTAATTTCTGGACACAGCCTTTTTACAGTTTATCTTGGAGATGATTCCATTTCAGAGCTGCCATATTGTAGGATGGTTAGTTGTAGGGAGTATCTCTGTATTATAGTTAATTTAACCATTTTTAATTTGTAAGTATGTGACTGTTCCTACTGGTAGACATTTAGGCTGCTTACAGTTTCTGTTATTATAAACAGTATTACACTTAACATTGTTTATAGTTCATTTTGTGAGTATTTGCAGATTTCTACAGAATAAATCTGACAGTTTTTTATTTTTGGTACTGGGGATCAAACTCAGGTCCTTGTGCTTTCGAGGCAGATGGTGGAACCACTGAGCTAAATCCCGGCCCAAGGTCATTTTAATAGTGTTCAGAGCTCCTGAAGCATTCTCTCCCTAGAGTAACAGAACATTTGTCCTCACATTTTGCCCATTTGATATATTGCATTTCCTTTCAGGGGAGAGTCTTATGCTATTTGTGCTTTTTGTTGGATTGTCTTTGCACACTTCTTTTCTTTTGGGTTGTGGACTTTTTGGTTTTAATCCCTATGAAATTAACTCTGAAAGATAAGATGAATTTCCCCTAGGTTTTATTTATTTTATTTTATTTTGGTACCGGGCATCGAACTTGGGTCCTTGAGCTTGAGAGGCAGGTGGTGGAACCACTGAGCTAAATCCCTGGCCCTCCCCTAGGTTTTAAAAAAAACCTGCTAAAATGCTGTGATTTTATAGAGAAAAATTAGATCATTCTTCTAAGAAAGAGTTTTAAATTTATAAGTATTTGGGGTTGTTTATTTATTTTCCATGCTGGGGCTTGAATTGAACCCAGGGTCTTTGCACTGAGCTACATCTCCAGCCCTTTTCAAAATTTTTGAGGCGGTCTCCCTAATCTGGTTAGATTGGGCTTGAATTCACAGTTCTCCTTTGTCAGCCTCCCGGAGAGCTGTTGATACAATTGTGAACAGCCACACCTGGCTTGCAAGTATTTGGATATTTTTAGGTGTTTTAAAATTTGTTGTTTTTTGTTTATTTGTTTTGTTTTGGTTTTTTGAGACAGGGTCTCACTATGTAGTTGTGACTGACCTGGAACTCACTGTGTAGCCCAGGCTGGTCTTGAACTTGCAGCGATCCTCCTGCCTTAGCCTCCCTTGTGCTGGGATTACAGGCGTGTGCCACAATACCTGGCAGGTGTTTTAAAATTTAACTGCCTTTGTCAGATTGGTGTTTGGAAATTTTTTCTTTAAGTGCTCTGAAATTGCTTTATAAATACTGCAATTATGTGTTCCTTGGTAGAATTCATTTATGAGTTGGGTATTTTTCTCTTGGTTTTGTTATTGTTTTTTATTGTTGTTTTTCCTCTAATAGTGTTTTAGATTTTTTTCTTTTTGAAATACTTTTAAAATTCTTTTTCTTTCGCTTCTATTTCATTTTCTTCACATTTGTTTTCATGGAATAGACCAAAGTAGTCTGTTAATCTCCTGTATGTGATTCTCAAATCTTAGTGGTTCTCAAACCTTTTGGTGTGAAGACTCTGCTAAATTCTTAATAATTACTAAAAATTATTAATTACTTTTAAGAGCTTTTGTCTGTATAAATTATATCCATAGATACTTATGGTGAGAAATTAAAACAAATCTTAAGAATATTAATTATTTTTAAAACAACCTATTATAAATTATGAGTAACATTTTATGAAGAAGTACTTTATTTTCTAAGAAAAAAGCTTTCCATGAGAAAAGAAGCATTGTTTTGTGTTTTTATAGATCTTTAGTATTTGGCTTAGTGCAAGACAGTGGAATTTTCATGTCTGCTTGCAGTCAGTCCTTTGTGACATTATTTTGGTTAAAATATATGAAAACAGTCCTCTCTTACACAGCTAAAGTTAGGAAAAAGAGGAAAATTTTGACAGCCTTTTCAGATAACTCTGCATGTTTTCCTGCCCCACCGAAACTCTACAAATGGTAGTGTTTTAAAGGTTAGTTGCAGTGAAAACTGAAAATCTACTAGCATTTCACACTCAGTTAAAAGCCATTAGCCTTTGTTGCGCTTGAACAGATCTCCAGCTGTGCATAATTTAATAATGTACTCTAGGTCATTTGGAAGTACTGGGGACATTGGGTTTGCTAATTTTTCCCAATATTTTACATATCTTATTCTATCATAGAATTACAAATTAGTGATATCAGAAAAGTTACTCTGTATTAGGAAATTGTTGAGGCAGATGACATGTTCTTTAAAATTCTCTTTGAATGATTTAATTTTTGTGTGATAAACACTAGTCATGTAGTTTTTCTTATTTTGAAAATTGAATTCTTAAAAAAATGCAAATATGTTAATTTAAGATTTTTTAATTGTAGGGAATCACTAGATGGTAACTAAGAAATAGAAGCCTAAAAGTATAAAATTAATTTACAAATAAAAATAAGTCATTCCAAAATAACTTGAGATTCACACATGTAAAAATAATAACATGATGGTAAAACAAAAATCAAATATATCCATCATATTATTATCAATAAATACAAGAGGTCTGTACTGACCTATTGAAACAGAGCTGCCCACATTGAAACATACAGCAAAACCCACTTGTCTATATAGTCAAAAGAAACAACTAAAATTGATTTAGAAAATTTTTTTCAAACCACAATAAGCACATTTCAAGTTCTACAAAGTAAAGCAAGGGTAGGAATCTTAACAGCAGATAAAGTTTAAAGTAGAAAAAGAAAAAAGCATCTGAAATGTGGGTATTGTAATAAATTGCAAAGTCGTTCTGAAATAACCTCCTTTGGAGTTCCTATGCGAACTGGCCCTGTTTGTTCATAAAGGAAACTTTAATAAATTCCTACAATAGATACATTTTATTCTCCAAGAAACTGAGTTCTGGTATAAGATCATTTTGTTTTCTTGTTTGCAAACACTGATCTATACCTGCTATTTGAAAGGTGCTTTGCTGGGCTTGAGGTAGATAAAAAAATAAATGAAAGTCTTTGTGCCTTTCATTAACTTAAAATTCCATCAGGAGAGAAACACAAGCAAAATCCCTAATACAGAAAGAAGGGCTGGGGATTTAGTTCAGGCAGCTTAGCAGTTCTGCCACCTGCCTTGCAAGTACAAGGACCGGAGTTTGATCCCTGGTACCAAAAAAAACAAAACCAGAATGAAGACAATGGAGGGAGGGAGAGATTGAGTGGGCTCCCAGTGTGTAACGGCGCTCACGCAATCTCAGGACAGGATGGTGCTGTTTCAGTATGGGTCTTACTGTCTGAGGTAGGAAAGTAGACACAGACATTGTCTCCTTTAACAGCTCCATACACACCAGATGCTCAGCGCCGGTCACTTCTGGAGTGTGGGTTGAAGGAGAAAAGATGGAGACTGTTTCCTTTACATATTTCTCTAGTCAGTGTTTTCTTATATATGTATTGCTTCTGTAATTTGGGAATTAAAAAGCGCTTATCTTAGTAATAGTAACTCCAGTGATCAATCAGTATGTAATTCATTGTATACTCATAATGTGTCTGTTATCTCCTGCTTGTCTAGGGCAGTCCTTTTAGGGGAAGGGGCATCACCAAGAAATATAAAACAGTCTGTATCTGTGAAGAAGTGAGTGAGTGAAGGAAACAGGTCTAATTTTTAATTGTAAATAAGATTTCTTGCTAAGTGCGATGTTCCATTTATGTGACTTTAAAATGGTGTCCTTGATCACAGTGTGCTTAGATTAGTTCCATGTAAAACTAACTAGGTGTTTGGGTCACGGTTATTCTGACTTTTTATATTTCTGATTAACTCCCATTTGTTTTGGAACTTTTGTGGTCAGGTTAGGACCATCACATAACTGTAAGTTCCATTAGCAACATGTCCCCAGTGAGACAGGCAGAGTGTCAGTGACACCTGAACTGTGGGTAACACTGCTAACCGTTAAGGAGACTGTGGTATCTGAGATGTGGTCAGAAGAGCTGGATGGTGGAGCTTTAATTGTTCATCTTTATAATTGCAGAAAGAACTGGTTGTCTTCCTGGGCAGTGTTGCAGGGTTCATCTTTACTTTTTACTAAAACTCAAGGAAGTGGTACAAGTTGGGTAAGTATTTATTTTTGGAGGCTTTATGCACTTAAATTATGTGGATAGTTTTATACCTGAATTTTGGGAAGTTGTTTTGAGAGACCTAGTTATGGCATGTGCGTGTAAAAATAAATGAAGTTTTCTTGAAAGAGAAAGAAGAGGACTAATTAGAAAAATCTTATTAGTTGTATGATTAAAATCAGCAGATTGTTCACTACGCAGACGTTACAAAGACACTTGTTGATTAATTGAGCGTCAGAGGTTTTCTGTGTTGTAACTCTTAACTTCAGACACTCAGTGGGAGAGCAAGCAGTGATGTGGCAGGCTCTGCCTTGTGTAATGTGACCCTTGTCACTAGCCAGTGACTCAGGGTCACTGAGTACACCTCAGCCGGCCGAAAAATGCCACCATTTCCTGTGGAATTTTGATAGTTTTTATGTTTTTGACTGCTTACTCTCTGTCACTCTTCAATTACTTGTAATATAAATTCTAGCAATTATAATTTGTGACGTGTAATTGCTAACATTGTTTGAATGTTCAGTAAGTGTCAGCTGTTGTTCTAAGTGCAGAGGTTTGTGAATATCTTCCTAACTCTAGGTGAGTTCCATTTTTCTCCTCCTCCTGGTACAGATGAGAAAATGAGGTATTAAACAGCCCAGGCAAACAAGCAAACAAACAAAAACCAGTCTAAAGCCTTACACTTAGGTGGCAGATCTGGGTTGAAAACTGGCATTTTGACTGCAGAGTTCATGCTCTTGAATATTTCTAAAAATTTTCAGTAAGTGAGTTTGAAATATCAATGTTAATGTTTAAGTAAAATTTAAGATGAAATTATTCTAGGGCTAGGGATGTAGCTCACTGGTGCTGCACCTGCCTGGCAAGTGCAAAGGTCCTGAGTACCAAAAAAATTTTTTTCTAAATGTATTTGATTTACTTCATATTCTATGTTATCCAACATTTTTCTTACAGTTGCTATAAGATTCATAAGTTTGATGAAAGTCCATTTATAAAATATAAGCAAATTGTAGTCATGTAAATTTATAACATAGCCTTGTAACATGGTTCAGAATCACAAATGCCATGTAGCCTGTTTAATTCCCAGCTTCCCTGGTAAGACAACCTAAAATTCCTCGTGAACGCTCTAGAATATTTCTCTGTCTTGTTTCTCTAATCCTTTGATTTGCCCCTCTACAGCCAATGGAGTGGAAATGACCTGCAGTATACTTTCATGTTTTAAGATGGGAATTTTGATTTTACTTAAAGTATTTTGATAATTATGTCTTTCTCCCTTTCCCTCTGAGGTAAAGTGTATGGTGGTGGATGTGTGTGTGTGTGTGTGTGTGTGTGTGTGTGTTTGCGTGTGTGTTAATGCATTTCTAAAGCACTGTGTAATTTTTTTCTTTCTGCTGTGGCTCAAATTTTATTTGAAATTGAGCAAAGAAAATGGATGAAAGAAAAGCAACAGAGAAGCAATTAGAGATTAATAAGTAATATTTAAGTACCTGAAGCAAGCCACATTTTGATCATTTATTTGATAATTACCAATTTTTAGAGATTAAAGATTATGGTAAGTAAGATAAAGCAAATAGAGCATTGTGGTAAGTGAAGCATCATTTAGATAGGTGGATTTGTGTGTGATTTAAACAGAATGAAAACTTGCTTTTAAATTTTAAGATACCAAGTGAATACCCTGGCCCATAGTCATTTTATTTCAGGTTTTTCTCTAGAACTCCTCACGTAATTCAGAACTCAGAAAGTGTATTAATGCTGACAGCAGGGCAGGATTTCTTCATCACCTAAAGTTACGTTACTGTTTTACCGTGTAGCAGTGGCAAAACATCATTTAAAATGTACAATGTTGAGATTGTAGAATTGTTTCATTTTTCTTTTTAACACATGGTCACATTTTGTAGTTCAGGCTTGCCTTGACCTCAGAGCAGTCCTCCTGATTTAGACTCTATAAAGTGCTGAGATTACAGGCTTGCACTACACCCAGCTTTCAATTCTTAATTTTTTATTTTATGGCTTTTTTTTTTTTTTTTTTTTTGG